GTAATATGTACAATTGAAGACTAAAACTCCTGATAAGTGTTACAGAATAAGTTGGTTGAAAAATGACCACATCTGTGAGTGAATTATCAGGCTTGCTGTATAGAATTGTTAGACATAGCTAATTTAATGTTGGTGGTGCCTCATAATTATGATTTTGGTTTTGGAAGAGATGATTGGAGCCATCTTTTTTTTTTCTGTTGAGGACTTTCCTAGTTTTTGACAATGGAACCATTTCATCAGTTTATAGGGAAATATTTACCTGTTCTGTGTAGCATGGGAGCATGAACTGGGCTGACCCAAAAATGGTTTCAAGTAATCATGATGCAAGTTAATAAAAAAAAAAAAGGGGCCAAAGTACATCCTTGTTTTAATTCCATTCTAAAATCCAGTTAATCACATATTTATTGAGTGCCTTGACCCAATGGTAAATGCTGGGGCTTCAGTAATGGTCAAGCATGAGGCCATTTGCAGGAGGCTGCCAAACCCATATCCCGTTACTACCACCCAGAGTTAAAGCAGAGGAAAGTTCAATTAGAACAATAGAAACCTTATTCCCTACAGAATTCCCCACAAAAATGATAATATGCACAAAACCCAATACTAGTCATGTAGATTATTCATACACTACAAGTTGTGAATTATCAAAGAAGACATTGGAGTCGAGTTTAGATTCCATTTACAGTGAACCAGCGAGTCTCTGATTTGGGGCTGGGGCGGGTGTTGGCTGACTATCTTTTGATGAACTGACATGGAGCTCCTTCAGGCTGGCAAAGGGCTCTGCAGTTAATGAGGGTGTTATATTGACAAGGATCACAATGTGCTTTGTGTTGCTTTGAGTGGCTTTGGTGCTTTTTTTTCTTTTTAAAGATTTTATTTTTCCTTTTTCTCCCCAAAGCCCCCTGATACATAGTTGTATATTTTTAGTTGTGGGTCCTTCTAGTTGTGGCATGTGGGGTGCTGCCTCAGCATGGCTTAATGAGTGGTGCCATGTCTGCGCCCAGGATCTGAACCAGTGAAACCCTGGGCTACCAAAGCAGAGTGCACGAACTTAACCACTTGGTCACGGGGCCGGCCCGCTTTGGTCCTTTTAAAACTTAAACTTGTAAGTTAACTATACTGTTTGAGGAAGGATTATAGGCATTTATTCAAAAAGTGACTTAGTGCTACAACATTCAGGGCAGTTTCTCTTGGTTTATGAAACAGGGCAAAGTTGGCCTCCCAGAGACCAATCAGGATGTGTCTTCTTCTGTGATATCACAAAGTTCATGGCATTGTCCAGAATCTTCTGTCACACTTGGTATAATCGCCAAGCCCATAACCTCCCTATGGATTTCTGAAACTAGAGCTTTTTGAAGATAATAAATGTATAGCGGCATTCAGGAGCAAGAGTGCAGTGGTGGCGCATCATAAACCTGGCTGGCATGCTGTGCCCTTTCCAGCTGTCTCAGTCATGCCTGGGCTTCGAGGGGTGGGTGGCCTCCACATGGTTCTGAATGTGGGGCAGGGGGGCCAGTTTCAGTTGTTGCCTGTCTGTTCAGCAATATCCAGTAGGTTCTTAGATAAGTTCCTACCATATATACGGTTGAGGGACTAAAAACCAAGGAAGAAAATGTGCCTTGTTTTTTCTTGTGTCATTCCTCAACCAATTTGTTTTATGTCGCTTTCCTAATTAATGTCCCACTGTTGCTTTGCATGGTCCCAATTAGGCACAGAATGCTGAGGAAAGTCAGGTTTTTGAAATGTCAACAGTTTCCAAACGGAATCTCTAAATATAATCCTTGTCTTGGATGCTTTATCCCTGGAATTCTGCTTTGCTGTTGGCAGCGTCGTAGACTAAATGTAATACTGTTGGTTCTGCAGCGCTTCATGCTAAATGCATTATGTTTCCTTTCGGTCAGATGCCATGAACAATTGTTTTTCTGTAGGGTGCGTTTTATAAAGAGACATTCGATGTTAAATTTTGAGTTATGAATGAGTGTTGCGACTGCTTGTTGGGTTACTTTTCTGGCTGACCATGCCCTCAGACATCCTTTGCATATTTCAAGAACCTTTTATGTGACCCGGAATTTCTGTGCTTGCATTGATGATTCCTGTAGAATCACAGATGACATCACACTTTTAGGTGGTGACTGTGATGTGGAGTAGAAAGCTATTTGTGTTCCAAAAAAACCCGGAATCATTTTACAAACGAGTGAACTCTAAGGCTCAAGTAAACTGTGCCCTGGTCCACGGTTCAGCAGCATGCTCACAGCACGGTTGGGACCAGAACCTAGTTTCTTTACTCCAGTCCAGTGGTGGGATCTGTGCACCAGGGACTTGGCTCTCTGTGTATATAAACAAGTATTGTTTCAAGGAGGGGAAGAGAAGGGCTTTTGCACACCTGCTGTGGTCAGGCACTATTATAAGGACTTTACATGTTAACTCACTTAGTCCTCAGAGTAACCTGCTACAGTTTGAAGGTATCCGCTTCAGACCACTCCTCTGCTGCCTGAGTTTGGAATCAATAGAAAGAAACATCTGTCTCAGGCAGATGGAAAAACAGCAAACGGCATGGCTCAGGTTGGCCATGTGTTACCCCAGTCTCTAGCAAAGCTGGGCAACTGTACGCTCTTTCATAGGGGCAGGCCCCTTTCGCTCCATGCAGAGAGCAGGACAGATGTGCTCTCTGCAGCAGGCAGGCCCCAGGAGGAGGGCCTGAGCAGTGCACCCCTGGTTCTCCTTCCAAATTTACCACCTCCCTCAGGAGGAGTGAGGGACGGACAGAGTGAGGTCAGGACTGTTCCTCTAAGGACATCCCTCCCTGTGGAAACATGGAACTAGGGAAGCGAAGTGTTCTCTTTCCCCACAACATTTTCAGATACCTATTATTTTTCCTAAGTGAAAAAATTGAGGTCCAGGGAGATGAAGTAATCTGTGCAAGTTGTACAGCTGGTGGGTCCTTCAGACTACAGTCAGCATCTGCGCACTGCTGAAGGGTGCTTCTCAGGAGCCCACTGAGAACCCACTGCAGGCGAGTCCCTTTTGGTTGGATGTGTGTGGACATAAGATGCACATCAAGTGTGGTGTCGCGGCCAGCTTGTAGGTTGGCTCATCGTGGTCCAGCGCAGTGCAGCAGGTGCTTTTTGATCGTTCACAAGGGCCTGGGATTTGTAAGTGTTAGTAATGAACTGCTTGGCCTTGAGTCTATAGTTTGGAAAGATTGAGAAGCTGAGTTTGAAATTCAACCTTCGGGAGTTCATTCATTCAACGTTTACTGAGAGCTGCGCATTAATGTGTTGCTCTAAGCACCGGCCTAGAGACAAATAAGGCCCTGGGTGCCCCTGTCCTCAGAAAGCTCACAGCTGACCTGAAACAGATAAAAAATTAAGTGACTCTGATCTTGTGTGATGAAAGCGTACTGGGATATGTGCAGACAAGGGAGTCAGAGAACGTGTGTAAGATGTAATCCTTGGTCTGAAGAATTTTGGATTGTAAGCTCTGTCTGCTTCCTTGGTTACTGTGGGAAATAGATGGGAATCATGCGTGTGATCCTGACCCTCAGGGCTGGGACGTTGTCAGTGCCTGTTTGTTGAGTGCTGTAGGGATGCTCGTGCACAGGATAGGCTGGCACTATGTGTCTGAGATTCCCTCCAGTTGAGAAAGGAGGTGATTTTGTGGATTACTGCAACAAAGGTTTGTGTCTCATTCACACAAAGTAATGCAAGTTGGGCAGTTCTCCAGGGCAGCTGACCTCCCTGAGGTTACTCAGTGATCCAGGCTGCATCCAGCTTCTGCTCCACCTTCTCGATATCTGGCCATGATTGCCACATGGTGGAAGGGAGAGCTGGAGGCTGGCACACTGCTTTAAAGTGCTTTATCTCAGAGGTACGTGTGTTGCTTCCTCTGACAACCCACTGGCCGTATCTTCCTGCAGGAAGGCTGGGGGTGGGGAGAGGAGGAGCAGTAGATGTGGCAGGAGCAGTAAGTGTCACTGCCAAACCTTCTAATCTTCCCCCTGCCTCCACCCCTTGTCCTTTCAGTCTCTGGCCTCAGAATATTCCAGATCCTAACCCCCATCTTGCCTAGTTGGGCACAAGGGAAGTGACAGGTGCTGTGGTTTAAGAGCACAGTGTCTCCTGCTGTCACCAATTTCCAGCCATGGGATTTGGGCAATATTTTAATCTCTCTTGTGTCAATTTCCTCATTGATAATGTGGAGACAGTAGTAATAGTACCCAGTCTAGGAAGGTGCTTGTGATGTTTAATTGAGATAATACATATGAAGTGGTTAGCATGGGGCCTGAATGTCCTCAGGCTCCATAGATTGTTAAATCTTCAATAAATGCTAGCTAATTGATCTGAGCATGAGTATTGATTAGCAGACATCCACAGCTGGGAAAGCAATTTAAGATACAGACTATGCTGATGGAGAATAAGTCATTCACTTAAATAAAGCAGACGCCACTATTAACCCTTGCACATGGAACCCTTGGATATTACAGATCAAGGCTGCACTTCTGTTTGCCATGGGCCTGCCCATCAGGAAGGAGAGAGGCAGCGAGAGAAGAGAACCAGCCTTTCTTTGTTGAGCAGTAGACACAGTACCAGGAGCGTGTAGTTGAATTCTCACAACAGTTTTGTGAGGGAGGGGCCTTGTCTGCATTTCATAGACAAGGAACCTAAGTTTAGAGAAGGCAGGGCATGTGTTCACAGGCATATAGCTGGCAAGTAGCACAGTTCAGTTTTCAGTCTGGCCCTTCTGACCCTAAAACAGCCAGAGCTGGAGCTGGCAGAGGGGCATGGCTGCCGCCTGGCCCCATGGAGTTGTTCTTGTCTCCCAGAGTGGTCCTGAGTGATCGCCTGCACCGTTCTTCTGCATTGTCCTGCTGAGTTTGAGTGCTTTCTCTTCCCTCAGTTTATCTGCTGTTAGATTTACTGTTTTTCTAACGTGATATTTGGTATTTATGCTGAAACCAAGCTAACAAGGCGGTTGAAGTATTTTTGTTCCATTTGAAACAATAGGCGTGTGAAACTGTTGAACCTTCCTGCCAGCCTCCGGCCACAGAAAATGAAAAGCTTGCTGAATCAGAACGTGTCGACCAAGAGCCCCTTCATCTACTCACCAATTATTGCACACAACCGTGGAGAAGAGCGGAACAAGAAAATAGGTAGGACCATTTATCCTGGCTTTCTAGCTGTACTCTGCCACTTGACTTCCAATGGCTTTTCTAGATTTTTAAAATATTAGGCTTCCAGTCCAGTCCATTCATGCATGTGCACACACAAGTATGAATGTATGCACATACTGTCCTGTGCACACACAGTATGTGTGCACACACTCTCATGCACACACACATAATGCATGCATGCACACACAGTATGCATGCATGTACATACGCTGATGTACACACTCAGTATGCATGTATGTGCATGCTCTCATGTGCACACGCAGTATGCATACATGTGCACCCTCTCATGTGCACACAGTATGCATGCATGCACATACTCATGTTCACACACAGTATGCATGTGTATGCACACTCTCATATGCACACACAGTATGCATGCGTGTGATGCTTTCATGTAAATTTATTCAGTTTGCTGCCTTTGTCAGGCAGTTGCCCATGGATCTGATTTTTAAGAATCTATTTCATAAAAGGTGATTTTTTGTGTAAGTTCTAGAAACCAGAAGACCTCTGTTGTTTGAGACTTATACAAACTACAGAAGAGTGCTAAGTGGAGATCAGAGTGGTTTTCCAAGGCCTGAAGTGACTTCTGAATCATCAAAGATTAAAGGTTGACTTATGTTCAGGATTGACTGGGGGATAAGGACATTATATTATTTTCGCCTTTGAACACTGCACCCCTCGTTTTGTATCAGAGCTAAGGATAGCCAGTTCTGAGATGCCCGATGACTCAGCGAGGAAAGATGGGATTCTGTTGCGGCATAGATTGGGCAGGAACACTCTCAGTCTTGAGAATCTCTATGTGCTTTTCTTTGTGCAGAACTCCCTGGTTACTTGCCAGCACCTGGCCTGCTCATTTCCTTCCTAATAGCAGACCCCATGGGCTCATGTGTGCCACTACTGCTGTCCCTTTGTGTCCTTCCCTGCCAGCCACGAGCTGATGTGCCACGGTGACAAAGCTAAAGGATTGAGAGTCCCAGCCCTGGTTGGTGATTGCCACTTCCCTCTAAGGAGTTTCACCAGAAGACCTGCGATGCTTTTGCTCTCTGCTGTTGGAATTCAGTGCTTTCTTCTCCTTCTGTTTTCTTTATTTCCACTCTTCATTGCTATACCCTCAATGTAGGAAAAAGGCATCCTGACTCCATGAGGCCCTTCTTCCCAGGACATGGGACATTGCCTTAGAATACCACCCACACCCCAAAGCATGGACCATAGGCTCTCCCTGAGCTGGCTGTGCCTCACAGTCCCACCCGCACTCCGTCTGCCTTTTCGTTTTCACCTTCTGCCTTTCTCACTCCTGCTCCTCGGATCCAGCTGCATGGCTCCTTTCTGTGCTTTGAACATAGCGTTCTCATTCCAGTCTCCGGGCATTGTGCTTGCTCTGCCCTCTGCCTGGAGCTCATCCCTTGTGCCGTCATTGGCTCACTCAACCAGGCCGTCCTCAGAGAGGCCCTCTCTGACCCCCGCACCTAAGAGGCTGCTCCTCCCGTCACTCTGCCTTCACTGCCTGGGTTTCTCTTCACAACACTTACATATACGTTCGTCTCTGTATAGAATTCAAGGCCAAAGGAACAATATAAGCATTAGGCACCTCACATAATCTCAGGAAGATTTCTTATATTAATACCAGCACTAGAATTGTGTAATAAACCTTATGCACAATATTAAATTATGTGAACACCTTAAAAATGAAGTGTTTCCTAAGACAGGGCATAACTTGGGGAGGAGCGTTAAAAAGACCTTGTGCTTTTCTGTAATGGTAATCATTTCTTTTATTCAAATTCTGTTTTATAAGAAGCTATCATATTTTAGTTCATTTAGTTTTCCCAGTGTTTTTGGAGGAAGTAATTTTTTTCTGCCTTTTACAGATGAAGAAGCTAACTCAGAGAGATGACTTCCCAAAGTACTCAGCTGGTTTAGTGGCCAAGTGAAAACTTGAACTCATGTCTTTTCAGACCTAGTGTACAGCTCCTACCAGTGCCCTCCCGCTTTCTCTAATGTCACAGCTCTCGTGGCGTGGGCCCAAATTCATGATAACGCACAGTCCCTGCCCTCAGCACATTTTCCGGGTCAGTGCAGGCAGGCAGGACACAAGCACATGAAGAGCTGACTACGAGACAAGCCGTAGATCAGAGTTCTCTGAAACTGTGGACTTGTCACTGGCAGTACCCGTGACTTACCTACTGAGCTTGGACAGACAAGAAGTGCTGGATGAACTGGACACCTCAGACTTTGAAAGGCCTCCTGGGGGCCCAGAAAGCAGTATTGTCCCTGAGGAGTAGGGTGAGCTTCCCAAGGAGGGGCTCAGAGGCTCTGGTTGTTCATTGTTTAAAATGAGAAGAAAATAGGGGCCGGCCCAGTGGTGCAGCGGTTAGGTTCGCACGTTCCACTTTATCAGCCCCGTGTTCTCCGGTTCGGATCCCAGGTGCGGACATGGCATTGCTTGGAAAGCCATGCTGTGGTAGGCATCCCACATATAAAGTAGAGGAAGATGGGCACGGATGTTAGCTCAGGGCCAGTCTTCCTCAGCAAAAAGAAGGGATTGGCAGCAGATGTTAGCTCATCTTCCTCAAAAAAAAAGAAAAAGAGAAAATAAGGAAGAAATACGGTGTAATGCCCTTGAAAACCGGCATCTGATTGTAAATTATAACATTCTGAACACATGAGCCCTAAGTATCTAGCACACTGCAATCTCTACCTGCGTGTGTGTGCATGTACGTATGTGTGCATGTATCTTCATTGGTCACTCCTTCATTGGTTCATTGGTTCATTCCCTCATTCGTCAGTAAACTCCCCTCGAGTTTCTCCTGGGTGTCAGGCATGTGTCAGCCCTGGTCCTGTGGTTCTGATGGTGAACAAGGCAGTCGTGGTCACTGCTGTTATGGGGTGTAGGTAGAAATTGAAGGGAAGTAGTAAGTAGTAACTACAAGAAGTAGTTAAGTATAGGCAAGTGGACAAATAAGTAAAATAATGCCTAGTTTTAATTAGTGCTATTAAAGAAATAAAAGTGGGTTGAAATGGAGAAAAATATTCTTTTCTATGGCATGGAAGCCTTTGCCTTTCCTGACTAAATATTTTTAATAAATATATTTAAGATGACAAGATTTTGAGTTTTCTCTGACATTGAATGGTTTCCATTTGCATCCTGGGAAATGATTTTGCTTGTTTATTCTTGCATCCATCATGTAGGCATCGATTCCCCTATTATATGTCAGGCATTGTAAGGGGTACACACAGATGTTTACCAAGATACTACCTCTTGGTCCTCCGACTCTTACCTGCCCTTCTTACTGTGCTGCTCAGGCTAACAGCCTGCAGATGACCTTTCCCCTGCTCCCCGGCTGCTGGATTCGTTAGGGTCTATCAGGCAGCTCTTGCATGGGGGTGATTGTGCAGGAAGGCAGAGGTAGCCTCCGTGGCGGTGACAGTGGTGGTACAGGATGATGCAGCCTTGTCTGCGTTAGTGATCACAGCAGCAGCAGCAGCAGCTCTGTCTCCATTGTCCAGCAAAGGCTGTCACCTAATAAGGTGCCAGTAATGAACAGTAAATGTTCACCAAAATGAATGAATGGGGGCTGGCCTGGCATTAGGTTTGAGCACTCTGCTTTGGCAGCCTGAATCCCAGGCACGGCCCTACACACTGCTTATCAAGCCGTGCCGTGGCAGTCCCACATATAAAATAGAGAAAGATGGGCACGGATGTTAGCTCAGGGCCATTCTTCCTTAGCAAAAGAGGAGGATTGGCCACAGATGTTAGCTCAGGGCTAATCTTTGTCTTCTTCTTCAAAAAAGAATGACTGATCAACTGCAACTGTTTCCTGGTTGTTATAGGGAGAAAGGCCCAATCAAGAAGGCATTTGTAGTGTGAATTTGAGTCTTTGACTTTCTAGTTTTAGTCTATTGATTTTGAAAGACAGCCTCAACCTCATACTCCTCCCCTACCCCACCCCACTGCTTCTCTGCTCTAGAGAACATGCTTGAGAGCTCTGGAAGCTAGGGAGCTGGGTGGACATCGTGGTTGACCAGGGAGGGCCAGGGGCTTCCCGGACCACCTCTGGTGTGCAGTGTCTGTCTTCCTGTGGGAACACCTCCTTGGATCTTTCTGGAGGTGGAAGACTTGGGTCCTGTTTTAGCCCAGTGACTCACTGGCTCTTCATGGTGGGCAAGTCACTTTCTGGCTCCTCTTTCCCTGGGTGGTCCTGGATTAGTCATCACAGAATTGATGAGGTTCTTCTCTCTTGGACCTTCTAGGAGTCTCTGGCTGCTTCTTTGGGGTCTTGTTAGGGTTGGCAATAAGCTGTCTCCCCAAAGAATGTTCTAGGAAAGTTTCACCCATTTTGTTTAGAGAAACTTCCAGAGGTAATCTAAGGCGACTAGAGGTAGGAGATTCCTTCTCAGGACGGGCTACATAATCTGTCGGGCCCAGTGCAAAGTGAAAATGTGGGGCCCCTTGATAAAGAGTGATTAAGAATTTGAGACAGTGACAGCACAGCGTTAAACCAAACATGGGGCTCTCTGAGCCTAGGGCTCTGTGGCTGCAGACTTGCCCCCCGTGAAGTCAGCCCTCCCTTTAATTTTTTCCTCTTCAATCTTAAGAAATTGTTCAGGCTTCTTTTTATGAAAATAATAGGTGAGATTTGTTGCAGAGGGCTTAAACAAACATTATCCAGTGATTTTCATAATTGCATGATGCTGTAGCCTGATGTTCCTAATTTACAGATGAGAAAATTAAGATTGAGCAAATATAAATTACCTGCCTCAGCTCAGAGAGCTAGTAAGAGGCAGAATTCAGGCTCCAGCCCAGGTTTTATGGCTCAAAGCCCAGGGGCTTTTTCCTCTATGATATGGCTCCTCGTCACAGTGAGAAGCACCTGCTCATCTGGGCTGAGGATAAGTTCAGTGGGTGTTGCAAGATTTTTTTCTGAGATACAATAGAAGCTTTATCCCAAATGCATGTTATATGTTGAATACCCATGGGTAGGAAAATGTAATTTATATTCTGTGGCTTCTAATATCTTTTTGGCAATATACTCATCAGCGGGTGCCTGCCTAGAGGTTTGAAGAATCGCATATCTTTAACCTAAAATTGCAGTCTCTATAAGTGAATCTTTGTGTGTAACTGGGGGAGTTGTCATCACAGCAGAGGGTGTAGAGTATTAGAGCAGAAACCCCTGAGGGCAGTTTTTGATACTGTTTTCCACTCCACCTTGGCGCCATTTCCTGGTCTTTCCATCTGCATGTTGCTGACATCACCAACGTCCAGGTAAAACTCTGCACGAAGGTGATTGCAGCACATGTCCTGAGCTTGAGTGCAGTGGGTGAAGGGTTTTACGTAATTTGTGGTAGGACATTGCGGTGTGGCCAGACTTACTGCTGAAGGCGACAGCTGCCCCAGAGGCAGCGTGGTAGCCTGGACAGGCTGTGGCTGTTAGTGGACTTGGGCTGCAGCCTGGCGCTGCAGCTGGCATTTCCCACTGCACCACCTCGGACACGTGGTTTCACCTCCCCGGGCTGCAGTTGTGCCGTCTACAGAATGAGACAAGCGAAGCCAACTCGGAGGTTCTTCTGAGGGCCAAGTGAGACACTGTTTCTAAACTACCTGGCAGCCGTTCAGGTAAGGCTCTGAGTGGCAGTTGCATGCACTGTTCCCGTGCAGGGATGCAGCGAGAAATCAGGAGTGCTTCCTGCCAGATGGGTCCATCCAGTGATGTAGAAAGAGACGAGCTTGTCAACAAAAGCAACCAGAAGATGCTCTTAGTCCACGGATAACAGTCAGAGTGGGTGTTTCATAGCCGTCAACTGCTACTCCTGCCCACCTTTTTGGGGACGAAGTATTGAGGAAGGGGCTCCTCCGTGTACTTTGACACGCTAAGGCTTGGAAAGGAGATAATCTCCTCCTTTCAGACAAAATACCTATTCATGTAATCAGTGATTTATCTTAGCCTTACCTTTAGTAGGCTAGGACCATGACAGTATAAGTGACTCCTTTCAGAATGGCAGGAAAATGATTTTTCTAATGATGACTTTTTGATTATGACAGAGAAAACAAACAGGCATAGCAAGGTGTTAGAACAATTGATGATTTCATCGCCATGAGGAGGGGGCCCGCGTGCTAACCACCTAGTCAGTGCTGGGCTCAGTGATGCCGCTGAAGGGCAGGCGTGTGAGCAGTGTGCTCTGGAGAGTGCCTGCTGTGAACCTCCTCTGGAAGGTTTGCACAGCCTGAAGGCCTTGGCGGCCAGGGTCAGGAGAGGAGGGATGAAGGAGGGAGGGGACCTGGGTTTCTGGAGCCAGCAGTGGGTAGAGCAGCAGAGTGAGAGGAGAACAGGTTTGGTGAAGCTGATTTTAGTCTCTGTGCAGGGTGCCTGGTGCAGAGTTTTTGGAAAAAGCGGTCTCTCTTGGGAAGCTCTGTGAAAGCTTAAGAATTCTAATCAGTAATCTTAGTATCTACTCTAGAAAAAGCTTTTTTATCCACCAGTGTCTGTTCTAGATACCTCTTTGAGTTCAAAGACCTAGGCTTGAATCCCTGTTGTGTCACTTACTAGCCCTGTGATTCCTAGGCACATTTATTGACCTGTTTGGACCTTGAGTACCTGCCTCATCACAATGGGGATGATAATGCCTATCTCACGAGGTAATTCTGAAGAGTAAGGAGATAACCTGCTTGAAAATGCCTTATCCCCAACACATGTTAATTGATTCCGAAGTTCCTTCTGATTTGCCTAATCGAGTCTCTTCAAGGGAGGAGAGGGCAATGGAAGTGGGGATAGGTACTGTATTAGTTTTCTTTTGCTTTGTAACAAATTACCACAAACTTAGTGGCTTAAAACAATGTGGTTGTTTTCTCACTGTTTCTGTGGGTCAGGAGTTTAGCACGTGTTAGCTGGGTCCTCTGCTTAGGGTTTCACAGGCTGAAATCCAGGTGTCAGCTGGGGCCATGTCCTTATCTGGAGGCTCGACTGGGGAAGATCTGTGTCCTGGCTCCCTCAGGTTGTTACTCATTCATTTCCTTGTGGTTGTATAACTGACGCCCCTCTTCTCTTGCCAGCTGTCAGCCAAGAACACTCTCACCTCCTAGAGGCCACTCCTGGGTCCTTGCCATGTGGCCACCTCCACAGGCCCTCTCCTTCTGTGAATCATTAGGAAGGGTATGGTCCTTTTTAAGGGCTCATCTGATTAGATCAGGCCCACCCAGGATAATCTTCCTTTTGATTAACTCAAAGTCAATTGATTGGAGACCTTAATCACATCTGTGAAACCCCCTAACTTTTGTTATATAACATCACCTAATCATCATATTCACACTCAGGAGGAGAGGATTACACAGGGCATCTACACCAGGGCAGGGAGTCTAGGGGGTCATCTCAGAATTCTGCCTTCCATAGGTGTTGAGCTGCAGCTGGCCTGGGAGTGGTCAGGGAGGAGAAGCCGCCATCTTTTACAGTCTTAGTGACTGGATGGGGGAATCAAGCTCTGTGCCACTTAAAGTTGACCGCAGTGCCATCTTCCTAAGTACCAGCCTCTGGGCCAGTGAGGTTCTGTGTGACTTGTGGCTCTACACCCAGAACAGTGCTGTCTGGATGGATTTCAGTTTTGCGAGGCTGCATTTGGCATGCTGGTGTGAATTCAGCCTGCTGGAGAAGGCGAGAAACATCAGTCACAGAGCGTCCAAGTGGCAGTGATGACTTGTGTCGTTTCAGAGAAAGCAGCGGTAAAAACTAAGTTTGAATTGTTTATCTCAAGATGGTCATAATGCCCACTGCTTCAGTGGAAAAATAAATTGCCAGAGGAATAATCTGAAACCGTGTGAAACATGCAAAATACCGGCTAACACATGGATTCTTTTGTCTGTGTGTATTTCTAGATTTCCAGTGGGTTCAAGGAGATGTGTGTGAAGTTCAGCTGATGGTATATAACCCAATGCCATTTGAACTCCGCGTTGAAAACATGGTATGTATCACCAATCATTTGACCACTTTTGGGCTAAACACCAACTTACCATTAAAATGTTTTTAACTTAATATTTGAGGCTCACATCCTGTGATATATGTTTGTTTTTTTTATTTGTTTTGCCAAAGATTATAAGCTGTTTGTGAGTGAAGACTACATCTTGTCATTCCTGTGGCTTTAGTGCATGCTACTCAATAAATGTTTGAACAATGAACAAAGACACCTCTGATTTGAGCACACTGAGCTTAGCTGATTGGATATAAGGCTTAAAATAATCATGTTGAAATTTACATGAGATTAGCACAGGTTACAAAGTCTCTGTTATGCCTGCTATGCAATATCAACATTACTTTATTGCTATAAGATAAGATGATAAGATGATCAAGGGCTCAGGGAGAGCGGGTAATAAATTACTGCACTACCGCTGTGAGATTTCTCTCGGGTTTGAAATCCAATGTTCTATTTCTGTGTTTTGTGTGGGGCGTTAAAGGTTCCCTTTGTAGTGGTGTCTGTTCCAACTGCTCACCTGATTCCATCATGAGTGGGAAGGAGATTTATACTGGCTCTCCAAGCTAGTTCTAATGTTTCGAGAGCCACCCGCCCACCGTGTGGATTCCATTCCTCAAGTCTTCTCCATGCGTATTATTGTGCAGTGCTAATTGTAACTTTTCAGTGACGTTCAGTGACGTTCAGTGACGTTTTCAGTGACGTTTTCAGTGATGTGCAGTGATGTTGAGATAGTTGGTGTTTTCCTTTAGAGTTTTACGACTCATGTTCAGGGTAAGAGGCAGGCTCTTCATTCAGGTATCTTGCTGAGTGCCCAGGCCACGTGTCAGGCCATGTGCGAGGCACGGGGGGACCTGGTCCCTGCCCTGACGGTGGTCAGTGCTGTGGCGGAAGGGCTCGAGGTGCTGCAGGTCCCATGTGGAGAGTCAGGGAAGGTTTCCTGGGAGAGAGGACACTCAGCTGAGAATACAAGGAGGAGTCGGGGTTTGTCAGGCAGACTGGTGGTTATTGTAGATGATGTTTAGGCCTCCAGCGTGAGGTATAGTTCTCTAAAATCTGTTTGAGTTCTTAGAAACTCTCTGAATATTAAGCTTACAGTCCTGAGGTCATTCAGAGAGTGAACCTACAGGGATGAGCCTTTTCCTCTTCCTCCTGTCGTACAAGAACATGCCGGCCTTAGGATCTGGCTCTTGGCCAAGCCTTTTAGTGACTTGTGCCTCTTGGCCTAAACAGAGAATAATAGTGGTTTACAGAATTTTCCCCGAAGTGGTCAAAGTATCATATGCCTGCTACTCTTTCTTACGTATTTTTTGTCTTAAAAAGTGGCTTTCATTTTTGTTGGGTTTAAAAGTAATATGTGTTTATTATAAAAAATCAGGAAGAACAAATAATAAAATAAAAATTATCACTAGGAGATAGCCCACAAATCATGGTCAGAATTTTGAAAATTAAATATTAAAAATTTAAAAAAATTTAAAATTTTTAAAAATTAAAAATTAAAAAAATTATGGAATATTTCAAATACATAAATGTTACAGGGACTAAGAAACATTCATATATCCACCATCCACTTTTAGAAAATTTTAACAGTTGGCCATATTTGCTTTAGCTATCTTAAAAAGAAATAAAATGCCAATATATTTTGCCTAGAGACCACAGCCTCCTAAGTGGTTTCTCTGCTTTCACTCTTGCCCACCACATGTGTTCTATACATTGTTAGATAACTTCACACTTTTGCTCAAAATCTGGGCACAAGTGTGCTCATTGCTACTAGAGTGTCTTTGCTTCTGCCTGCTTTCTGTAGAAAGCGTTAGGAAAAGTATGCATGCGTGTACTTACATATATACCTACATGCATACATCTGCATATGTGTATATATATATGCACACATGCCCATATGCATGCATATACACAGTGCAAATACACATTTTATAAATCCCGTCTTCACAGTGATGCCTCCCATTCTAATCCATCTCCATAATGTTCTTTCCTGCCTTCCTCCATTCTGTGTCTGTGCCCTTTCTTCCAGCGTGAGAACTTGGGCTCACAACAACATCAGCACGTTCTCACCTGCTCAGTCCTGTAAACTAAAAGACTTTCAGGGTTGCGTTGACCATAGCACTACGGTAAACAAACCTACTAGAAGGAATCCAGGATCTCTCCTTCATTTTGTCATCTTTAATTTATCTCTGTAGATAATGTTCTCTATATTTCAGTGGGGAAATCTTACACATCATTCATTAGATTTATTCCAAGATAGTTGATTTTTTAAAATCTCTTGTCAATGGTATTTTTTACATTTTATTTTCTAATTGTTTATTGCTAGATTATAGAAATGCGTTTGCTTTTTTCTATACTGACTTTGTCACTTTGCTAAATGCACTTGTTAGTTCAAGTTTCGTTGTAGGTTCCGTAGGGTGTTCTGTGTTCATAGTTTTGGTTTTTGTGAATAACTGTATGCTTTTTCTGGCCTTATTGCACTGGGCAGCACTCTATTACAATGCTGAGGAGAAGTCCTGAGCACTGACCACCCTGCATTGTTTCCAGTCAGGGGGCAGCTCCTTGAGGCCAGGGGATCTGTCTTGTTCACTGTCAAGCACAGTACCTGGCACATATTGAAATGAATCGATAATTCATAGATGCACCAGAGGGAGATTAATGGATGATGTATTTCCACACTTTATTTTTTTTCTTTTTTTGACATTTCCATTTGGTAACACAACAAAACAAAGGAAAGATAAAAAATACAGCAATCAGGGCTAATATCAAGATGGAATTGTTGTTCAGGCCCCCATGCTGCTTTCCATTTTGAGACTGTTTTGTGTTATCACACTATCTGCAGTTCTCTCTGGATTCTATACAAGCCGTTTCATTCCGGCAGTCCTGGAGCCTGCCTGTAGGCAGGTGCACAGTGGCTAGTTTGGAACTGGCTGTAACAGTGGTGGGTTTGGGCCGTGCTTGTTCATGTTACTCCGTCACTTGCTTTAGGGGCTCCTCACGAGTGGCGTGGAGTTCGAGTCTCTCCCGGCGGCGCTTTCCCTTCCTGCTGAATCTGGTCTTTACCCAGTGACGCTCGTTGGGGTCCCACAGACGACTGGAACGATTACTGTGAATGGTAAGGAGAATTCCTTTCTGATTCAGTTGGAGTAAAACTGCTGAACTCCTGTACTGCCTCACTAAGGCCTGTCACCGGTCACCCGGCGCTGTGGTCCCAGCCAGTTAGAACATAATGGGGAGATTGCAGTTCTTTGGGATGCGACGTGAAACGTGTTGAGTGTGCAGGATGTGGTGCCGTGCTCCTGTTGCAGCGGGAGGGTCCTGACTCTGCGTCCTGGCCTCCTCGCCCCTCGCCTCTCCCTCATCTTCACCGTTCTCCTGTCTGCTGACTCCTTCCAATGAGCCTGCAAACATGCTCTAAGGTTCTCCCACTCCAGTTAAGCCCTCCCGATGCCACGGTTTCCTCTCACTGTGGCTTGATCTTCTGTCTCCCATTCTCAGCCAGATCTCTTCAGAGACCCATCTGTACACGCTGAATCCACTTTTCCACCTCTATATTGGTTCTCGAACCCACTGCATCCTGGGTTTGGCCCTCATTACTTCACCAGAACTGCTCTCACTGACGTCGCTAGCAGTAATTTTCCAGCTAAATCCGGTGCCTGCTTTTTGGTTTCTGTCGAACTTCACTGCTCAGCACCCTTTGGCCCCACTGCCCGCCTCCTTCCTGGTGCTCTGTCTCCTGGTGTCTGTGATGGCACACCCTCTGGTTTTCTGCTGCCTCTCCCGCCTTCCTTTTCCATCAGTCTCTTCTGCAGGTGCCCCTGCTACAGCCTGACCCTTAAAACGGTGTTACTCGTGGCCCCGCTTCTGTCCTTTCCTCCCTCTCCTGCTCCCTCTGCTTCCGTTTCCTCTCCTTCCTTCCCCTAAACCTGGTCCTGCCCCCCTCCCCCCTTCTTCCTCTCCCCTGTATTCCCTCCCTTTCCTCTTCTCCTCCCTCCCCTCCTTTCTCAGCATGCCAGCTCTGGTAATCCTGTCAGTCTCATCCACTTTTCTGGCTTCAGGTCTGATCTATATGCTGCCAATTCCTGGGGCCAAGTCTCCTGTCCAGACCCCTTTTCTGAACCTGCGTATCCAGCTGCTAACCAGCTATCTCCTTGGCTGTCTCATTGGCACGTCATGTACAACGTATCCCAACCAGAGCACATCCCCTCTTCCCTGAAGCTGCCGCTTCCCTGTGGTCCCGTCTCAGTCAGGGCGTCACCGTCTAGCCAGGTGCCCTAACCAGATACTTAGGAGTCATCCTTAACTCCCCTCACTCTCTCACACTCACCCCCACGTCACTGACTGTGTCATCAATGCTCTTCGTCACCTCCACAGCCACTCCACAGAACGTGACCCTCTTATAGGGTTTGTCACAAAAGCATCAGGACTGGTCTTTCTGCCTCAAGTCTTGCTTGCTAATAAATCTATTTTCCATCCTGTAGCCAAGTGGCCTTTCTGCAGTGTAAATCCAATCGTGTCATCTCTTGATTGTAAGTCTTGTGTGGTCTGGCCCCTGCAATCTCCTCTTTGCCCCTTGTCGCCTGGGTTACACTCCACTCTCATAGACGCCTTTTACTTCTGGAAACGTGCCGAGCTCTCCAGGCCTTCGCCCGTGCTTTTCCTTCTCTTGGTGTGCTCCCACACTTGGCTGGCTCCCGTGCTTCTCCGCTTCTCAGCTCAGACTTCCTTTCCTCTTGGAGGCCATGCTCAGCTTCTCTGTGCTGGATCAGGTCCCTGCTCAGTGCTCCTGTGATACTCTGTGCATGTCCTTCCTTCATGTCACTAAGTGCAGTTGCTTGCTGGCCTTCACCTTGCTGGTCTTGTCATCTTGCTCAGCTGGATCCTCGGCACCTGGCACGTAGTAGGTTTTCAGTAGATATTTGTTGGCTACAGAAGAGACGTTTCTGGGAAAGGGTGTTCTCTATGAAGCCATGAGGCAGCTGCCATCCTAGGTTCTGACGTGTGGCAGCATGTGCTGAAGTGGGGCCAAGCACACAGCTTATGGGAACACGCTGGAGAGGTGACCCAGAAGGGGAGAGTGGGTCCAGATGAACTTCTCCTAGTAAGTGACCCTGAGGTTTGAAGGCCAACTAGGAATTATCTGAATGAATGGGCAGGGAGTAGAGGGGCTTCCAGGCAGAAAGAGCAACAGGTCCAGAGACCCGGTTGTAAGAGAGGACACAGTGTGTTGGGGAACTGGAGTTGGCTCAGAGTAACTGGTCCGAGGCGGAGGGGTGGTAGTGATGAGGCTGGGAAGGTAGACCCAGAAGGGCCTTGTAAATCATGCCAAGGGATGTTGGCTTTCTCCTGGGGCGATGGGACTGCTGTATTGTTTGAAAGGAGGAGTGATCTGGTCAGACTGGCAGTTCAGAGCGACCCCTGAGGCTGCTTTATGGAGAAGGGGCTGAAGATGGGCAAGACTGAAGGCAGGGAGACCAACTACGAAGCTATTGTGATAGTCCAGGGACAAAGGTAGGACCACAGTTGTGGCCGGGTTTGGAGCAAAGGAGAGAGATTAGAGAGGAAATAACTAGGACTGAAAGGCTTGGTTCAGAGTAACACACAACCAATAATCAGTAGGTTCCTGGAGGAGTAAGGTTCAGAGCCTTAGTAACAAAGTTTTTGGCTGTTTATCCCTGGTACAGACTAGTTAGAGTTCATTTTTGGCACACGTCATATATGAAGTGGAAAGGGCTGGTCCTGTATTATCAGACATAACACAGAGGACTGGTCATCAGATTTTGGGTTTATATGCAGTCATTTTAAGCAATGGGTAAGAAAAGGAAAATGGTTGGTTTTAATTAAGAAATGGAAACCAAAGTTTGCTCAGCAGACAAAACCACATCAAATCAGGTTTTATAGAAAGAAAAATATGAGGGGGCATTAGTGCCAGATGTGGGTTCCTGGGGAGGAAAATGTTTGCAAGTTAAATTAAGGAAGTCTTTTAAGAAACATCCTTCAAAAAGAAGGAAGTGTGGGTGCTGTAAATTGGAGTTATTTTAAGTTGAGAGACCAGTTTAAAACTGGCAGAAGGTAAGTGGAGCGTTGATGAGGATACAGAAGGGCCCTAATTTGCCCTTGAGCTAACAGCTTGCTTCTCTGTTTAGTTCGTAACCATTTAATATGAATGTAGAAAAGTTGTTGCCGTAGGCATTTAGCCATCGGGTATTGTTTAATTTTGTTACACAGTGGGTATTGTTTATAATAATTATCTCTTGAAATTTCAAAAGCCATTTTACAGTTTTGCTTAAACAATTTCAAGTGCTTATCTAACCGATGGAGTGGGTTTTTTTGCATGGAAAATTTGCTAATCTTAAATTATAGCACTTGTACACATACAGCTCATTTGCCATATCACGTAGTAGTTACAATAACAATGATTGGCTCCTGAACTTTCATCTCTCAACAGAAGATTTTGAATCATTTTTCAAATACTTATTAAGTCACGTTATGCCCTGGAAAGGAATAGCAGCTATTGTTCTCATTTTAGAGATGGATACATTTGAAAAGCAAATTGATAAAGGGATGAGATACTAATTTTTAAGATGCATAGAGATTTATAGTCTACAAAGACTTTCACATACACACTTAGTTAGGACCCAGTCCGCTTGTGAAGGAGTAATGCAGGTGCTCTTACCGTCTCCTCTCTCTGTATGAGGAAGCCAGGGGCCTTTGGGGTTGAGTGCGGGGCCTGTGGGTGAGACTAGCAGGTGATGGGGCCTGAATCTGAACTGAACTCAGGTGTTCAGAAAGGGACCCCGCTCTCCTTTCACTAGCCCGGGGCTGCCTTCAGCCCTGGGCATGAGACACGAAGCCTTGCCAGGTGGTGCGAAGCTTTTTCTTTTGTTTCCCAGGTTACCATACCACGGTCTTTGGTGTCTTTAGTGACTGTTTGCTGGACAACCTCCCGGGAATAAAGACCAGCGGCTCCACAGTCGAAGTCATTCCTGCTCTGCCCAGACTCCAAATCAGCACTTCTCTGCCCAGGTAGGCACACTGAGAGCACAAGTGTCTACTTTCTGACTAGAAATGGCACTTAAGAATATTTTTTAGTTATACACTTTTTAATCTCACCAACAGTTTGAGTTAATCTGTCATTTTTATGACCAGAATATGGGCAAGGGTTTTTTCAAGGTGACCTATGGGCACTATGCTTTGCTTAAAGGGAACTGGAACAAAGTGGAAGTGTTTCTTACCAAGAACAGAAGAAAATGTGAAATTAACCTTTGGAATCATGATTTTTGTGAAAAACGATTAAGGTTTTAGGGAATTTAAGAAAAAACTCTTATCTTTTAAAAAATACTTTTTTTTTTTTTAAAGCGTTATAAGAAAGCATAAAAAGAAAGGGAAATAAATCTCAGGAGTCCCAGAAGCAATTACCGTTAATGCTTTGTGGCATTTCCTTCCAGTGTTTATCTGTCTGTATTTTTTTTTTTTTTGAGGAAGATTAGCCCTGAGCTAACATCTGCCACCAATCCTCCTCTTTTTGCTGAGGAAGACTGGCCCTGAGCTCACATCTGTGCCCATCTTCCTCTACTTTATATGTGGGACGCCTGCCACAGCATAGCTTGATAGGTGGTGCAGAGGTCCACACCCCAGATCAGAACAGCAAACCCCGGGCCACCGAAGCAGAACATGTGAACTTAACCACTGTGCCACCAGGCCAGCCCCCTATCTGTCCTTTTTTTTAAAAAAAGTTTATGTTTGAATAATTGAGATCATAGTGTCTTACATGTAGCATCATAGATTACTTTTTGCCTAACCATATAACATAAGCTAAAAATATTTCTATTTTGATTGCTTCAAAAAGTACATTATAAAGACATCTCAAAATTGCATCACCATTCATCCTTGCTATTGGAATTTGGGATTGTCTCAGTTTTTGCTCTTATGAATAATGCTTTTTTTTTAAGATTGGCACCTGAGCTAACAACTGTTGCCAATCTGTTTTTCTTTTCTTCTTCCTCCTAAAGCCCCCCAGTACATAGTTGTATATTCTAGTTGTGATTGCCTATGGTTGTGCTATGTGGGACGCCACTTCAGCATGGCCTGATGAGCGGTGCCATGTCTGCATCCAGGATCTGAACCAGCGAAACCCTGGACCACCAAAGCAGAGCGTGCAAACTTAACCACTCGGCCAGGGGGCTGGCCCCTGAATAATGCTTTAATGTTTGTTTGTTTGGCTGTTTTTATAAAGGGTATCTTGGGATTTTCCAAAATGTTTTAAAAGCTCATTCACATACTTAATGGCCCTTTTTGGTTCCAGGCACTGTGCTAGAGGCCAGGGCTGTGAGAGTGGACACAGTAGTCCTGCTCCTTGCCTTCTCAAGAAGTTACAGTCAAGTGGGAGGGATTGACAGGTAGCCAAACAGTCATGGTCCACTATTGTCGGAACTCTGATGGGGCTGTGGGAGATCGTAGAGCCTGAGGGAAGATTCCTTCATGGAGGCGACACCAAGTGTGATGTGAGAGGTGAGGGAGGAGGAATTAGCCATGTAAAATGGATAGGCTGGAGAATTTTCTAACAAAGGGAGCAATCTATGAGAAACCACAGAGATGGGAGAAAGCATCATGTGATTGGGGAATAAAATGAAATGCAGAAAAAAATTAACTCAAAAGGATCATAGAACGAATTGTGAGAACTAAAAGTACAAAACTTTTAGAAGAAAACATAGGGGAAAATCTTCGTGACCTTGGCTTAGGCAAAGAGTTCTTTGATATGACATCAAAAGCAAGATCCATAAAAGGAAACATTGATGAATTGAACTTTATCAAAATTAAAACTTCAAAGACACCATTAGGGAAATGAAAAGACAAGTCACAGAGTGGGAGAAAATATTTGCAAATCACATATCTGATACGAGCTTATATTCATATAAAGAACTCCTAAGACTCAATAATAGGAGACAAGGAACCTATTTTAAAAACTGGCTAAAGATCTGAATAGAAATTTCACCACAAAAGATGTATGAATAGTTAATAAGCAGCCTGGAAAGATGCCCAACATCTTTAGTCTTTGTGGAACTGGTACCACAACGAGATTCCAGTTCACACCCACTAGGGTGGTTGTAATCAAAAGACCATAGCGAGTGTTGTAAGGTGGCGGAGAAACTAGAACCCTCCTACACTGCTGATGGGAGTGTAAAATGATACATCCCTTTGGAAGATATTTTGGCATTTTCTTAAAGAGCTAAACATAAATTTACCGTATGATCCAATAATTCAAATCCTCGGTATCTACCCAAGACATGAAAACGTATATCAACACAGAAATGTGTATATGAATGTTCACGGCAGCATTATTTATAATTGCCAAAAAAGTGGAAAGAGCCCAAGTGTTCATCAACTGGTGAATGGATAAACAAAACGTGGTACATCTATCCGACAGAGGACTGCTCAGCAAGAAGAAGGAATGCACTCCTGATACATGCCCCAGGTAGATGAGCCTCAGAAAGGAGAAGAAGGAAAAAAGGGAAAGAAGCCAGATGCCAAAGGCCATGTAGTATATGATTCCATTTATATGAAATGTCCAGAAAAGGCAGATCTCTCGAGACAGAGCAGACCAGTCATTGCCTAGGGCTCAGGGCGGGAGCAGGATTGACCGCAAATGGGCACGAGGGCTCTCTTGGGGGTGATGGAAATGTTTTAAAACTGAGTATCAATGATGGTGGTACAACTTTGTAAATTTACCAAAAATGATTAAATCGTATACCTAAAACAAGTGAATTTCATGGTATGTAAATTATACCTTGATTAAGCTATTTTAAAGAATGAATTTTGGGGTTTTTAGCATGGAGTACTGATCTCAGGTGAGCCCAAGGCAGCCTCAGGAGAACATTCTTATCTTTGCTCTGGGCATGGGGACTCCGGAGCTCCCTGGGCGTGGGCTGCCTCCGAGCATGTGTTAGCTGAACAGGCGAATCTGTAGCCCCCCGGCTCAGGCTTCCTCCTCTGTAGCCTTCCACTGCTCCCCGTAACACTGCAGCACCGACTGGTGCTGGGTTGTGGATGACACAGGCCTCAGGCCACGATTCCAGGCACATGCTCCTGGGCTCATGTGAGGAGCCTGAACTGAAGGTGAGAGATGAGAGAGCTGGCGGTCAAGGTCACACGATTGTGCCTGCCCCATGCTGGGTGAACCCTCAGCTTGCCAGTAAGGGGGGCGTGGTTTAAGGTACAAAAGTACTGAGTAAGAGGGCTATTCCAAAGGGAAAAATGTTTTGGGAGAAGGTGACAGTGTCATTTGTGCTGCTAGTAAGGCCATTTCAAAGGTTCTCTCCAGCTGTGTAAGGCAGCGGGTGTATGCCAGACAAGGGACATGGAGCTCTTGCTCTCCGCCTCCCTCCTTTCCCTCCTGGTTTCCCTCCCCCTCTGGCTGTCCACTTGTTCTTGGGGTATCTCTTACCTCTCAAGGAGGAAACCTGCGCCACAGCCGGCTTTCACGCCCCGTGGAGCACGGATCCCGGATCCCAGGGTCCAGTGCGGGTCCCAGCATTCCCTGCTGGGGCTTTTCCTCAGTGAGAGAATAGAGGCAGAGAAGAGAGGTCCCTGTGTCAGTGTTCCAATTTGGAGTTAAAATGTTTGTTTTTTATTTCTTTTAAAACTTGTACATAATGCATATATTTTGCTAAGGAGATTTTCTGAAATAAAAGTGACTATTCTTTGAGTGTTGTTTGTAATTAATCTAACATAAATATCCCTGTGACTGGCTCATTAAATTCACTCACATTTATATATGCCTACCAAGCCCTCTAGGCATTGTGCTAGAGGATTAGCAATTAATAAGAAATGCCCTGACCTAGGCCTCTCCTCTTGTAGGAGCTCACGTCTGGAGGGGAGATAGACTGACTACAGTCAAATTCGCTGAGTGCTCCTGTAGTGTGAAAACAGGAAGAGGGGAGGTTCACTCTCCCTTTGGGGGTTCAGGAAGTCTTCATAGAGAATATAATGTTTCAGTTGGGCCTTACAAGATTAAAAAAAATTGGCCAAATAATCAAGCAAGGAAAAATATGCCGAAAAAAAGCAAACAGTAGGTCAACTAAATAAATAGCCAAATATAGAATGTAATGAAGTAGAATTAAATGCTATGAAAAGAACAAAGGAGGGTAAGGTGAAATGTCCAGTAAAGGCAGATCCACAGATTCAGAAAACAGGGCAAGGTGGCGAGTAGGGTCCTGCTTTTTATACTCACGAGAGCAGAAGTTTCATGGGGGTAGAGACCTGTGGGAGTGGGTGGGATGTGGCAGAGCCTTCCAGGCAGCGGGTAGTGACTCTGAGGCCTGAGTGGAGGGTGCTGGTTTGCTCAAGGGCCAGCATGAGCATGGTGGGATGGAGAGGGAGGCTGAGGTTGGGCAGTGTGTGGCAGTGAGTCATCGGATGCTCTCACCTCCTCCTTGGCCAAGCAGCCAATGTGAAGATGTGTTTCACAAGGCCGGGACCTAGGAAGTACCCATTAAGTATGCAGTGAATCTCTATGTGTAGTTGATTGCTACGATGCTTTTCTGTGTTGAGCAGGTGGTTCAAATTTGAGATGCTTATTAGTCTGTTCAACACATATTTAATGAGTACCCATTATATGCCAGGCATCTGGCTAGGAGCTGAGTGTACAGAAATAAAAATATCATCCCTGCCTTCAGAAAGCTTTTTATCTAGTGCAGAGGCTGGGAGAGTGGTCCTATGCAGGAGGGTGGCAGCTCTGTCCACAGAGAGTTCAGGGAACTGGAGGGAGGAGCTCTTATGTGAACGTGGACAGGGGCTGAGCTGCTTTCTGAAGCAAGAGCAAGGGGAAGCATGAAGAGTGGAATCTCTTGGAGGCAGAGGGGTGTGGCCGTGGTGCTCCTGTCGCTGTGGAGTCAGCTTTGCTTGGCCTCAGGCGCTGGTGCTTCCCTTGCAGCTTCCATGCTGCTTGGTCATGAGGTGGTCTTACCCAACATAGACAAGAGATCAGGGACCACTCCCTTAGTAAAGACGATTTGTTGGCATAGACCTTGTACCTGCCTCCCAAGGTTTGTCCACATAAACCTGTATTCCCACATAAACATGTATTCTTCTCTGCAGAGGAGCTCTGCCCTCATCTCCTCCTAGGGGACTGGACCTTGACCCCCTCCCTGGGGACCTGACCTTGGTTGGAATTGGGAGTACCTAGGGGCATGTATGGCTGCCATCTTCTTACTGCCAAGTCTCACTTAGGACTCAGCCCCTTTTCAGTGCCGGCTCTTGTCTCTCCCAGCTCCAGTGTTCATGATGCGTGGGACACTGTACTTTGGGACAGTCATCTGCCTGTGTCCGGGCCAGGCCCTGCGCTGCGTCACACCTGTGCTTTCTCCTCTCCTTCTTTTCTCACAGTACCATAGGGGCTGCCGTCCTGTGTGTTTGAGATGCAAAGTAATTAGTCTTGGCCGTGTTTCAGTTTTTCTGAATACCTTCTCCCCAAGTTCAGGTTGACTACAAATAGCTTTCGCTAGAGAAGGACTGCGTTTTAAAATATGGAAAGAAATTTATAGTGACGATGGGAGTCACTTATCCTTCCTTGACAGAGAAAGTTTATTTCTTGACTCATGAACAACTTTAAAGATATGAAATGCAAAGGAATTCACCTTGAATCACTATACTATTATTTTCTGAAAATGTGGTTTGCATATAAAAGCTCCTCTATCAGAGCCTGGAATTGGAGGCCCCCCAGGAAGGGCATGACTGGCTCCATAAGCGTAACTTGTTTAAACATCATCTCTTCCCTTGGACAGCAGAGGTGTGAGGCCAGCACTGTCTGGAACACTCTTTTCTGTCCTTTGGACCTAATAGTATGGGGATATGAAGCTCTGCTGTGGTGCGTGGAAGCAGAACTTGGATCTGACACTGATCTTCTGTGCTGTGACCTGGAGCAGAGGTAGAAAGAGCTGGTCAGCAGAGAGGCTGTTGGGTACTTGCTGGGTTCTGTGGCCAGGAGTCTACTTAGTTGATTTCACAATCCATTTCTGATTCAATTGTGGACTCACATACATTTAGACCAGTGGGGCTTTCTGGGGAAATCCTTCAGGTACAAGGAGGAAGGTAATGGAGACCCAAGTAAACTCGTCAGATCCCAGGAAAGAATGTTGACCCTTTCTCCTTTGGTGACTTCCTGTCTTTCTTTTGTGGCCCCACTTCTCCAGCACATTGTATATGATTTTTCACACCACCTACCACACACTTTCTCTTCATTGTTGGCTGGCTTTTATCCCCATTGTGCCACCAGAAGCCTTTCCTTGCTCAGAAGTCGGTTTGCTGCCTGTGGGTTGGGAAAGGAGACACCCGGAATAATTAGTATTGTGGATTAAGTGACAGTCAGGGGAACTCAGGCAAGAGCCTCAGACCGAGGGCTGGGTTTGGGAGCCTCAGGGGGATGTCAGGCAAGCTTTGGGGCCTCCAGACGCTGGGCTGCACTCCCACGTAGCACGTGGCGTCACCTGACTTGTGCCAAGGACCGGGCTGCACAGACACAGACCCCAGGGTAACACCTGCTGTGTCACAGCAGGCATTGCTTGTCACTTTTCACTTTTACCTATGACGTGGAGTCTGTTGTGTATACTTTTCATTTTTCTTTTGCTCTACTTCCTTGTGTTATCAGTTGAATGATTCAAGTTTCTTCTTAAATCTATGGATTTTCCCAAGGCAATTCTGAGCATGAGATTGCTTACTTTTTTTTTTTTCAGAGAACAATATGCTCATGAATCATTTGAATTAATTCATTGTTTCAATAATTAAGTATTTCTTGCTTCACACACATGAGAAACTAAGAGCGAGTGAGAGTGATCATGTTGATAACACGTCATTGACCCAGGATGAGTCTGCACGTAAAGAGTACTCAGCGTGTGGTGATTCACCCTTCTGTACCTGGTAGCCGGGTACTGAGTTCCATGTTTAAAGCCAAAAGTTCCTAGCTCATTTCTGAGATGCAGAAGTGTGCTGATCCTTTTATTTGATGGGAACAATTTTAAAATGCCATTGGTTTTCTGCTCTTCTTTCTCTTTAAAATTTATTACTGTTATTTTAGATCTGCACATTCACTGCAACCTTCCTCTGGTGATGAAATTTCCACTAATGTGTCGGTCCAGCTTTACAATGGAGAAACTCAGCAACTTGTCATTAAATTGGAAAACATTGGAATGGAACCACTGGAGAAACTGGAAATCACCTCAAAAATTCTCACCACCAAAGGTCAGTATTTCAGGCTGTTTTGACCCCAGAAATGTTTATCTTCTTTATTTGCAGAAGAGACACTTTGAATACCTAGTGTGTAGAGTCTAAAAGCTTCTTCCCCTTTTAACTGATGCTATCATGAAACTGGAATTCTAATTATGTGTGAAGAACACACAAAGGAAGTTAATGGAGCAAAGAATGCACCTTTGTATCCCTGGTGCTCTTTATGTTGATCAGATCCTTGGGAAAAATATTCTTGAATGAATGAGTAAATAGAAATATTAGCAGGCTCTGGGATCCCATAGCTCACCCAGCCCAGTGTTTTCTGTGGGTTCAGCACTTAGAACCTATGCACTCCCTCTTGAAGGCAGGTGCTCTGTTTCCTGATTCTAAGGCACATGTAACTTGGGGTTGTAAGACTTGTGTTGAAATTTTGGCTTCACCACTTACTAGCTCTTCATCCTTTACATGCCTCAGTTTTCTCCTGGGTAAATAGGGGAGGTAGTATTTACCATGTAAAGTTGTTCTAGGAATTGAATGAGGCAGTATATGGCAGAATACCTAGTGTATTGGAGGTTAGTGAACAGATCAAAGGGGGAAGATATTGTATAGGAGGAGGGAATGGTATCAAGAGTAATACGTGGAAATAAAATAAGGTCATTTAATAAAGTTAGAAAAGTTAGAAAGGCCAGTGAGACCAGACAAAGACAAAAGAGGGAAAGCAAGATAGCAGAACTTTAGGGTGTTTATGTGCTTTTGATACAGGAGTGAGGTGAGCCAGGCTCTCAAGTGGGAGCTTGACTGATTCTGGTTAAGTTTCTAGGAAAGGATGTGTATATAGTCCCTGGCAGAGGGCTCCCTCCTCCTGCTAATGACATTATAACGGGAAAAACCAAGTGAAGTAAATGTTTGTTAGAGGGAGAGCCACAGGCCACCTAATTGGTTCCAGCTGGAGGGAAGACCCAGGGATGAGTGTGGGAGAATTTGTTGTGCAAAAAATTATGTTATGAAAGAAGAAACATGGATTGTACAAGAAATGGTTAATCTGAGCTTGTCCCTCTGGGGAGAATTTCAGGGTAACTTGTTTTTCCGTATTTCTCCCACTGATTTTGATGAAAGTCTGTGTGTTGGGGACATGAAGCATGTATCTGTCTGTGTTGTCTTGCCTGTTCTCCCTGTCTGTATCTCTTTTCTTTGGAAAAGGCTGATCAGGTTGTATTTTCCTCATTGGAACATGCCGCCTAGGTTCAAATCCTGGTTCTCACTTCCTGGCTGTGTATTCCCCTGGGCAAGTAATTTAACCTCTCTTGGCATTTTCCTCTTCTATAAGATAACACTAATAATAGTACCTATGTCATAGGATTATTATGAGAATTAAATGAGATAATATATGCCAAGTCCTTGGCATATTATTAGCACTTAGATTTGTTAGCTGCTATTATTACTGCTACCACCACCATCACCACCACCTTTACCACCACCACCACAATCATCACTACCATCGCCATCATCACCATTACCACCATCATCACCACCATTACCACCACCACCAAAATCATCACTATCATCACTATCATCACCACCACCACCATCACAACCATCACATCCACTGCCACTGGCTATCACCCTCACCGTCATCATCACCACCATCACCACTGCCACCATTACCAACATTACCACCACCATCACCACTACCATTATTGTTGCTGTCACTGTCACCACCTCTGCTTATTCTCATTGCTGTAGAATATGGTACTATGTGAATGCACCACAACTTATTTATCCATTCAATGATTGAGCACATTTGGGTGGTTTTCATCTGGAGACTGTTAAGAAAGTACTGCTATGAGTATTTTGGCACTTATTTTGGAAGACCTGTGTAGACATTCTGTTGAATATATCACCATGAGTGGAATACTGGGTGTAGGGTATACATGTGCTCAGCTTTAGAGCCAAACACTTTTCCAAAGTGGTTGTACCAGTTCACAGCATCATTGAGCGAGAGTCCTGATTGCTCCAAGTCCTCTCTTGGCATTTGTAGTCATTTTGTCTGGTCTGGTGGTGAGGGTGGGGTGTAATGGGGTAACACTGGGCTTTACTTTGCAGTCTCCTGATGACCAGCAAAGATGAACACCTTTCATTTGGTTCTGGATACTCTCATGCTCTTTTGTATAAGTGCTTTGTCTTTTTTTCCCACTGGATGTTCTTCCTTCTCTCTCTGTCTCTGTGTCCCCCTCTCTCCTGACTTGTAGGAGTTTATATGCTGAGTATGAGTTCTTCGTTGGCAATATCTGTGACTGTCTCCTCCCACACTGTGGTTGCCGTTACACTCTCTTAGCTGTGTCTTTGGAGGAACAGAAGCTCTTAATTTTAAGATGGTTCTCCTAGTCATTTTTGTCTTTGATGGTCATTGCTTTTTGTCTCATTTAAGAAAACTTTGTGTACCCTTAGTCCCTGGGAAATTTTGATGATACTACCTTCATCTCATCCTTTCTTCCTTTCCCCTCCTATTTTCAGGGGCAAGCACATACAGATTAGGTAGAAAATGCCTCTCTGACATAAGATACCTCCATCTGGTATTCTGAATTTAATTAATGGGGTTATAGGGTTTGGTTGATGTTTAAACAAGTGAACTAATATTGAATGACAGAAGACTGCAGAGTCTAGAATGGTGAAATTTTTTCCCATCTCTTGTAATTTACCTTGTCACAGTTTAGCTACCGGCAAATATCTTTTCCTTTTCTCAAATAAACCCAAATGATAATCATGTGCCCATTATTCATTACAAACTTGCTTCTCTTTCTGAATCCTCATGCTTTTCTCCTTTGGAAATCCTTGAATGACTGCCTGTTGTCCCTGATCCCAGGTTCCTGTAGGGCTGGCCTCTGCCCCATACTTCAGCTTCATCTTTTGCCACCTCTCCCCTTAAACTCTAGTCGCATTGGTCATTAGGAACTAATTTCAGTTTCCTGGACATTTATGCTGTCTCTTTTAAATTTGAATAAACCATTTCCTCTCCCTAGAAGTCAGCTTGCTAACTTCTGCTCCTACCCCCTTTGCCACCTCATCTTCAATTAATTTCTCCTTTGGGTTTGAAATATAAAATAACTCTAATAGCAGTACAAAGAAAATAATGTGGAGCCAGAGAAGGGAGCATTTAATTCCACATGGAAGAGTTTCATGGAGTGAGACTCCATGAGAGTTGTTATTCTCTGGAAAGCCTTCCTAGGCTTGGGTCCCCCCCTTTGTTGTCTCAGAGCGCCCTCAGTTGCTTCTGCAGGAACCCTTACACGAAGTATTGAATTGCTTGTCTACCCGTCTCTCCCTCCAATCAGGTTTGAGTCTCAAAGGCAGCGAATGGGTTTGCCCTTTTGCTTCCAGGCCTGGCACAGTAGGTGCTCAGTTCTCAGTTCTGAGCATTGTCAGTGGGAAGGGATTTCCTCATTTACAGAATGAGACTAATGGTAGTAGGGCTGTCTCACTTTTAGGTGAGTGGGTTAAAAAGTAGATGTGTGCGAATCACTTTGAGATTCTAATGCATTGTGCGGCTCCCCTTAGGTACTGAGCTTCCATCCCCTCCCTGTGAGTCTCTCTCTCTGCTCCTTTGCTCAGACCGTTTGTCCTTCCTGGGAAGACCTTCTGCTTCTTCTTAGCCATCTAAGTGCTGCCTTTCTGCAGGTCAAGTGTTTGTCACCTTTCTGGGCTGCTCTAGCCTTTGGTGTTCTTATGCTTTTGAACTTTCCTGAAACCTATTCTTTGTATCAGCCATCCCTCCCTCTCCAACCTTTTATTATGAAAATATTCAAACATATAGAAGAGTTGAGAGAATTTTACAGTGAACACTGTATACCACCGTCTAGGTTCTGTAATTAACGTTTTGCTCTATTTGATTTGTCACATGTCTGTCTGGCCTCCTATCCATCCGTTAATCCATCTTCTTTTTTTTGTGTAGTTCCAAGTAAGTCGCAGATTTCAGTGCATTTTACCCATTTACACTTCAACATGCCTATCATTAGTTAGAATTCAAAATCTGTTTACTTTTTTTTTTTTGGTAAAATGTATATGTAGTGAAATGCACAGATTTTAGGTTACCACTTGATGACTTTTGACAAATACATGCGTCTAACCCAAATTCTTATCAAGATATACTATAGAACATTTTCATCACCCCAGAAAATTCCATCACGTCCCTTTCCAGCCAGGCCCTGCCCACCCCCAGAGGCAACCACTCTTTTGTATTTGTCTGGTCGGCCTCAGTCAGTATTGACTGATAGTGATGAGGAAAGATGGGAACATGGGAACTGGACAGAATTCCAAGGGAGGGAGCTTCAGTGGGGGTACATCTGACACCATCAACAGTCCCCTTCTCCCCCCAGCTCTCAAATTTTGTTTCCCGTCACCATCTTACCTAAACCTCACCTGTCTTGTTTCTTATTCTGTCATTTTTCTGTGCTTATCTTCCCCTCTAGTCAGCTCTACGGTAGACAGAGCAAGTATTATTGCCCTTACTGTATGGATGGGGAAGGGGAAGCCGAAGAGGTTGAATGACCTGGGTGAGGGCACGTAGAAGCAAGGAACCAGGGCGAGGACTGAGGGCTCCTAACCCTCAACTCTGGCATCTTTCCCCTTAATCATGAGACGGAGAACCTCAAATCCATTATATATAGCACGGTGTGGCCATTTTCAAAACAACGCATTTCAAGTGAAAAATTAAAGCTGTCATTCTTTTTTAATTCTCATCCCAAGCTGCAGTGCATTTACATGTGGAATTAAATTAGTGAAAATAAACCATCTGCTTCCTGCATATACAAAGGGAATAATTCCTGTCACTTATATTCTACAGTACCAAAAAGCTGCCAGTATTAATAAATGATCTAATATATATGAGAAGATGGGAAAATGTCTTAAACTGGGAACATAAGCAAGAATTATGTGTTTGAGTCGGGGTGGCAGAGACAGAGTAAGATCCCATCATGGATGGTAAATAATATCTATTTTCATCTCAGCATTATCTTTAT